CCCTGGCTTCCTACAGATCCGTATCTCCCAGCTGACGGGCGCTACGGCGCGAAGAAGGTGGGAGCTCTGGCTGAGGCCTTCCAGCTCTCGCAGAAGAAGGGCGACTGAGCATTGCCGTCGTGTCTTTGGGTCGTAAAAGCACAGGGCCTGAAGAACCCGACAGTCTTACAAAAAGAGTCCGTGGAGTTGTACGGTGCTGAGTCGGTGCTCGTCCTGCTGCCGGCGTGCCGGTGGTCCTCCGCAGACGTGATTGCTCTGCCAACAGGGATTGTTAATGGATGATCACTAATGTAACCCCCTCCCCAGCTGCGTATTTCTCGGCCACCCTGTGTGCTTGGTGGCACAGTCTGATGCCTGCCCAGGATGTCACCGGAGCTGTTTGGACCACAGAGCTGGGATTTGCCTCTTTCTCCACCAGAAGCCACAAGCCTCAAAGCTCCCTGCAGAGCGACCCCCGTTTGCTTCGCAGGGTCTGGGTGGGAGCCCAAGAAACCCCACCGCAGACGATGTCGCAGGCAACGTGAAATGCCCTGCCCCGGTCCGGGCTTGACTTCTCCATCGCTCAGCCACGCCCCTTGTGAAAAAGGCCATTGTGGACATTTAGCCCTTGGGCTTCCCAGGGTGCAGACGAACCAACCGAGTCGTTTCCACACCTCGATTCGCTCCCTGCTTGTGTGCGCACGGCTTTGCTTTCCCGGGCTTTGCTTTCCCAGGTTGCTCCAGGCTCTGCCTTCAGCCCAGCTGCCCCCAGCCCTGCCCGCACCTTCCTTCCCGGCCGTCCCCAGCAGCAGTGGGTCTCCCCCCGCCGATCACAGGTGCCGCCCGCGGAATCGCCGGGATGGTGCCAGGGGTTTTTGGCCGCGGTGCCGCACGTGCGTTAAGCGTCGCACCTGAGCGGCTGCCGAGAAAAGGTGTGGGTTTCAGGAGGATTTATTTACTTCTTCCTGCAGCCTCATCCAGGGACTCCTGGGTGGAGAAAACTGGGTTGTTTTAAAGGCAGGAGTGGGGAGTTGAAAACAGCCACATCAGCGCTGCGATTCCAGCAGGTTTAGGTGTTGCTGCTGGTTCATCTAATTTACAAATGCACGCCATTGTCAGAGCGTAGTGTGAGCCTAGCAGTCACGGCCAAATAACCTGCAGGCTCTCCTTTGAAAGATTTGCTCCTGAGGCTGCTTTTCTGGGCAGTTGCAGGGATTTTACTGCTGAAACTTCATCCTGCTGCTTGTGCTGAAGCCCTCCCCGTAGTGTTGCTGCTGCCCCGTGGCACCCTCCTCAGTGGTATTTCTGCCCTCAGCCTGGTAACGAAGTAGATACTGGCTGGAACATTTCTGCTTGTTTTTACTGTCCACACATCCTGCTTACGACCAGCCAGATCCAATTGCTTCTTACCACTGCTCCTGTTCCAGTAAAGCAGGCCTGCCGTCGGAGCGAGCCTGGCCCCCTGTACCCAGTTTCCCTTGAACTGGCATCTGCTGTGTCCCCCCATGAAACTGTGATTTGTGTGGGTTTGGGTCAGGTAAGGACATTCCCCATCCATTTTCTGTTTTCTGTGCTGGATGATCTTTCTGCAGAGGGTCTCGCTTCAGAAGGATGGGAACAATTCAGTGTCTCAGGTTTGGCGTGGTTCGTTTTCACTCTGACTTTCAGAGCAGTGCAAGCAGGGAACATTTGGGAACGAGGTGAACCACTAATGGGTAGCTTTCCTCAATTAGACTTGGAAAGTTTATGCAAAAGGAATAAAATAGCAACCCCAGCTCAGACTATAAACAATCCCGTCAAGGGAACAGCTCCTCAGTGAAACTCGACCTTCCGGTCTGGAGCAGAAGCTGCTTCTCCCTGCCCTGCCGAGGTACTCCGGGTGCCGGGGCTCACGGTACGGCTTTGCCACCACGTTTGAGGATACGCTTAAACAGGCGTGCGTTATTAACCACTTCTTTTTTTTTTTTTTTTTGCAAAACACGTTCCCAGAGGCTGTGAAATGCGCCATATTGGGAAGCAGGCTCTTCTCTGGCACCCGGGGAAATCTTTTACTGCCTGCCTGTGGCAGCCGGCAGGGAGGAACATCAGGAGGGAATTGGGTCTTTTAAGTCATTTACAGGAAAATAAGCAAAGGTAGCAAAAAAATAAATCACTCGTCTTCACTTTAATACAAAGGATTTCTTCCTCCTGGGTTGCAAAAGTCGATGAGAGTTGGGAAAAGTGAAGTATTTTGCAGTTTGCTCCAAGGAAGGACCTAACAGACAAGTTGCAGACAGGTTTCTGCTGATCTGCTGCCACTTGGGTTGCTTCATCGCCAGGAATGGGCATCCCTGTTTTCAGCTGGGAAGCCCAAAGCAGGACTAGCAGTTGGAAGATGTGCATGGATGAAGTGAACAGAACAACAGAGAAAGGGCCTGTGGTGCCCAGGGACAGGCCCAGAGGCCGTGGGTATAGACTGAAACACAGGAGTTTCCCTCGGAAACACTTTTTCCCTGTGAGGGCAACCGAACCCCGGCACAGGTTGCCCAGGGAGGTTGTGCAGTCTCCATCCCTGGAGATGCTCAGAAGCCGGCTGGGCACAGGGCTGGGCAGCTGGCTCTGGGTGGCCCTGCCTGAGCAGGGGGGTTGGACCAGGTGCCCTCCGGAGGTGCCTTCCAACCTCATCCCTTCTGGGATTCTGCAGCCACCCTGAGGACAGGCTAATTCTACCTAGGGTTGAGCAAAGTGAAAGCCTGGTGAAAAGGATAACTCCCGGGTTTTGTAAGGATGTCAGCTTCAGGACTAAAACCTCACAGGGGCTTACAGTTAAAGAATGGGTAAAGCTAACAAATTTTAGTGAGTATAAATACTAACTGCCAGACAGATAACTTCCATAAATAGATCAGCTGGCCTGTAGACCCCAGGTTTTTTGGGAGGCAGTTTCACTGGGGATCAGCGTGTTGGGAAGGCAGCTGGAGTAGGGCCCTGTGCTGGGGAAGGGGCAGGCCCCGGGAGCCCCTGCCCTCAGCCCTGCTGACCAGGGGTTGGAGCCCAGCCTACTCTCTGCAAGGACGGCCACTTCCGAGGGTCACTAAGAAGAGGAGGATCCATTTGTTCACTAGTACAGTCTGTCAGCAGGGGGAATTGTTGGGATGTAGATCAGTTCCCTTTCTTTCTGACCAGGAAATGGGTGGCACCTGCTCCCATGACTCAGGAGGAAGGAGCCAGCTCCTGACCAGAGCTGTCCCACACACACCCACAGGGCTGGCAAGAGGAAAACCTGCCTTCTTCCACCCTCAGCACAAAGGCACGGGATTTTGCCAGACCAAAACCTATTCGTCAATGCGCTGCAGTGGCACAGGCTGCGATGACAGTCTATCGGAGTGGGGGAGCGTCAAGTCCCAGTGGGCATGCAGCCAGGCTCCTGGGCCGCGCTGAGCGTTTCGAGCAGTTTCCCAGTGGCACGGTGACCTCAGCTCTCCATCCGTCTCCTCAGCCTCTCTTCCTTCCGCTGATAGGATGCTAATCGCTGCTAAGGCTTTTCCAGTTGAGCACGGGATTGCTCCTTAGTCATCTGAGCAAGCCCCCTTCCTCCCTTTCAAGTTTTCCCATGCTTAATTCGACTTTGTATCAGTAGGAAATGACAAGTCATGTCACTTTTTCTTTTCTTCGCAAGTGTTTCCTACCACTTCACTCTACCTAGACGCACAGCGTCTGAGTGGGAAAGCACAGTGAACTCATGGAGTATTACCGATAGGAAGTGACGTTTTTCCTCCTTTTGTTCAGCAAATTCCCTATGGAGTACAGTTAAAATATTGGAGACACTTTATTTAAAGACAGGAAGGTTGTGTTTTCAACTTAGATACGTTTCTGATTTAATTTTCTGTCCGACTGAAATCAAATCTGACTAATCTGAACGATTTTCAAGTGAAATCCTGAGAATATAACCTTCAATCAAGCGCTGGCTCTAAACCAGGCCTTAATATCAGAACAATGGGCACAGCATTTCGCTTGGGAAGGAATGTGTTTCTCAGTGTGTGTCAGCATTAAGAGTCTTCTATAAAAGCAGCCGTTTTCGAGCTTGTGCTTCACACATTTGCCAGCACGGGTAGCAGCAGGGTGACATCTCGGGCAGGTGTCTTCTGACGGTCGAATGGTGACATTTCCCTTAACAACAGGGCACTGAAGGTCTCGAACGCAGTCTGATTCTTGCCCTCAGTCCGTGCTTTAGCAGTGCTTTTCTTCCTAGGGCTCACCTCACCTGCAGGCTACGTGCTTTGAAAAGGAAGGGGTAGACTTAGAGAGGTATGGTGAAATCTCTACACCAGTGTGCCTGACTTCGGGTGCTGTGGGATGATGGTCAGGAGGGCTGCCACCATGCAAAATAACTCTCAAGCCATGCAAGTTTACACTGAAACACCAGGCACTCCTTTGCAGATGAGTCTCCAGGTCTCCCAGCCCAAGAGAGACTTTCTTCCGCATCTCTGTTCTAAGGAACGGCATTAGCTGGACTCAAGTGAGCAGAACGTAACCCCCTTGTAGCCAGGATCACTGTTACCAGAGGAGTGGGATTTATCAGGGAAAGACTGGGTTAAGGGAACAGCAGAAAAGCTTCAAGAACCTGCGTTTAATTTTGCTTTGTCCTGCTCGCGCTCGTATAAATACTCATATTTCTGATGGATATATGGCCTGCGACAGACTAAGGGGTTGCAAGTGCCGTATCCTAATGCAGAAGGTGTTTCTCCATGTGATGCTGCCTAAATATTTTTCTCCTTTTTTAATATTCCTTACCTTCCCTATGGTAGCTGATCCCAAATTACAGCGAGAAGTAATCACAACATAACTTAAATCCATGAAAGCTTGTAAAAGTATTTTTCACAGAATGATTTACAGACAGCCAGGGGTTTGAAACTCTCCTTTTATTGCATATACTTCTTCTTACTTTACAAATAATTATATGCACTGATACAAATGTTCCTTCACAGAAGGTACATTTCTTTTTTTTTAAAAAAAGGGTTAGGGCGTCATCCAAAATAAGCCATTTATTGTTCGTTAATATAAAACGTATTCATGTTTCTAGGAGGTGTCATATCTAAACCACTGTTCATCCAAATTTCTTGCATGATCTGCTCCCTGCGCTCTATCCTTTCGGCCAGTTCCGCCGCATCTGTTGAATTATAACCTGAGTACGAAGGTCTGTAAAGTCCCGCCATCTCATCCTGGACGTCTGAATCGGAGGAATCCTCCTGCTCCTCCTCTTCCTCCTCCTCCTCCTCCTCCTCATTTTCACTGTTCTCGTACGCTCTGTCACTTCCTGGCACCAAGCGATCCTTCTTTCCGTGCAATTTCTGGAGGTCACTGGAGCACGACAGGCGGATCACCAAAGCACACAGCGTGAGGATTAATCCCACGCAAACACTGGACATGAACAGGAGAGCAGCTCTTTCGGGGTGATCTGAAACCAGAAAGCCAGTGCGTAAACACTTCACAAACTCTGCTCAAGTCCAGCTACAGACAAGTCAGCTGCCATTTCCAAAGCATCCCGCAGTAGGTGGCCATAACCGGGTGGGGGTGTGTGTGTGGGGGGGGACTGGCGGTGGAGGGAGGCTTTTTCTGTCATGCACCAAAACCGCCCTGCCCTTGCAATCCGAACGCTGCCATCTCGGCCTCTTCAAACTGCAAAACCCGCAGCCTCTTAATAACACTATAAAATAACATCAGCCCATCTTTTCATTAGCAGCTTATTAGCATTCTCAATCAGCTACCAGAAGTGTACCCTTTTTTTCTTTCCAGCCATCCCGCCAAAAAGGGCCCTACCCTCATGAAGAGGAGGCACGGGAAGAGCAACCCTGGGCTCTACGGACCCACGGCAGCATCCCCACGCCAGGCTGGGTAGGGAGCATTTTTCTTCCTTGCCATAGCCTGAGATCCCGTTGCGGTATGGCCACAAGTGAGACGGATGTGGAAACAGCCTCAACGGGTTGTAAAAGCCAGCCCTGGCTGCTGGGGGTGTTGCTAGGAGGTCTCAAGGGTGGTGGGGTTTAGGGGAGCTGCTGGGGGCAGGCAGGCGCCGCCGGCAGGGATTGTGTGTCTCGCCGTGTCGGCAGGCTGTGGCTGCCCTTCATGCTGGCGGGGGAAGCCCGTAAAAAGCTGTGGATGATGCTCGACTGCTGCGTGGTTCTTGGCATTTTCTGGAAGCGCAGCAATCTTAACTCTGGAATCACTTCTCGGCATCAGCCTTTGCTCACTGCCAAACTTGGTGACTCCTGTGGTGCGAGAGACCTGGTGATCACCGATTTATTTGCCTAAACAGAATTTGCCTTGGCGTTGCTAAGTCGCAAAACCCGCCACGTCCCATACCAGAGATGGCTGGGTTTGGGCTGGTTGTTTTTTTTAACTGCTCCTCGATGATCCTTACATGTATGCAAACCAGCATTTCCAAAAATGGATGTCTCCAGCGCTGCTCCCAGACCAGGACCAGGTTTTCAAAAATACTGAACAACCAAGAGTTCCCATTGAAAATATTCATTAAAAAATATCTTGGCTGCAGTCTCTAAAAGACTTCAGATCCTTCAAGATGGAAAATATTCTATAAATATCAATTATGCCTCGATTGTCCCATCCACAAAGCTGTGACCATATTGTAATAATATCACTACTATAAACATGGGATTACCAGTTGTGACCTTCTGAACTGATCCTCCCTTTTCCCCGAAATGCCATGATCTTGTGAGCCAAACAATTTCAGCCTCCTTTTCCTACCTCTAATGTATGCAAATGTAGCCAAGGAGTTGCTAACAATAGTTCCATCTTTCTTTGGAAGTCTTGATTCCTTTGGATCGAGGTCAGCATCTGTGACACCAGGAGGTAAAGCAAAATCAATTGTATCATAGATGATGATGACATTCACTCAATAACTTCTAAACTAACAAGTCTACCTAAAACACAGGCAAGCCAAGGCTGTGTCGCAGGAACCTTGCAGAACGTGAGACAAAACTATGTTTGAGAAATAAAATAAATATAGAAATAAAGGATAAATAACAAAGTATTGGAAATATTGAACATCTAGAAAAGGGCAAGTGAATTACCAAGCGAAACTCCTTGCCTATTCCCATCAAGCTTTCTGAAATAATTTATTTCCATTAGGCTTCACAGCTCTCAAATGGGCTTCCCAGCCCAGTCACTGCCGTAGGCTCCCGGTACTGACGCCAGCGAATACGCATTAGCCACGTTGTTAGTTGTGCTGCCTTTAAGAAGAGCAGGTGTTGGCAGGACTCGTAAAAGACTCTCTGCCCTGAAACAACTGCCATCTCACTTTTACTTCTCCCACAGTTCCATCGGAGGTGAAAGCGAGCGCGCTGGGTATGGGTAGGTCCGGGCGGGTCATGCGTTTTGCAGCGTTGCTGTGACAGCAGGGCTGTGCTCGTGTCCCATTCCGCTGCCAGCCTGACATGCTGCCCTCCAAGGGGAAGAGCAGCTGCCTCAGCAAAGTTTCCATTACCTTGTCCCACCTCCCTCAGCCCAAGCTCTTTGGGGGGAAAACGCCCTGTTTCAATCAAAGACAAAGGAGAGCAGCAAACGGTAATTTCTTGACGGTACTTACCGTCGTCGTTCTGTTTGACAGAAGACTTGCTATCAGTGACCGGAGGGTTGAAAGCTGCAAGGATAAATTTAGGAACTGAAAAGATGAAAGATACTGTTAGTTTTAGGAACCAGGTTCCCAGTTAATTACCAATCCCACTGCTAACCCTGGGTTTATTAACTGGGTTTCTGACAGTGGTATCAAAGGGATGGGAGTGGGTGGCTGCCTCCAGAGCCAGCGCCGGCAAGTGCAAGCCCTGCAGTGTGCAAGCCAGCCTGGGCTTCCTCGGTGGCCCAGAGCTGCTCCCTCTCCGGCAAGAAGACTGAAGGGAAGGTGAGGTAGGCAAGGAAGGGCAAGTGCTGCAAACAGAGGGAGCCTGAGGGATGGGACGCACAGGTAGAGCCAACCATTTTCACCTAAAGTTCAGTGGAACAGAGTGGAACTGCAGACAGTGCTGCAGTTTCTTGCTAGGGACTCGTAAGGGCAGCTCCAGACCTGAGGCTGGATTCACACACCAGCCTGCGTGGAGCTCCAGGAACACCAGTGCAGCTGCGTGCAGCACAAGGACCCACCCCCTTGTTTTCTGCCCCCTGGTTTTCCACCCTGCAAGGGGTGTGCCAACCAACAGATAGCAGACAAAATTGGCCAGTGAATTTGGAATAAACTGGGCTACAGCCAGATTGTAGGTCACCGAGGAGGGAGGTGCACAGGATGGGAAGAGATGCATGGGGTGGGAGTCGGCTGCATCCTTCCCCATTTCATTATTTTTTTTCCCTTGATCGGTTTTCAGAAACAATTTGAAACAATTAAAAGAGCTAAAAGTAGGTGCATCGTGCAGACATTGCGAGCTCACATATTCTGTCGTAGATGAACGGGCCCTTCAGATACCCAGGTCTTGGCACCTGTTCCCTGGCCTATGTGAAGGCAGATTGATTGATTTTCAGACCGATGTGAAGGGGCGAGGGGGAAAGGAAGAAATTCCAAGTATGAAGCTCACCTCTATCCCACACAGAAACATTTGCCAATAAATAGTGCTAAGGAAAGTTAAACTGAACAAGGAGACTGAGGTTTGCGGCTTAGCATAGCTTTCGTTTGAAAAACAACTAAAAATAGCACTTCTTTCTGAGCACAACTTTTCTTTGAGTGTGGTCTCAAAGTCATAGCTATTTCCTTTCCTGATGAAGGAATTTTTTTGGGACTCAGCTCCTGTTTGCAGTAGAAGGACGACAGAGAGAGAGGAGAATGAGCTCATTTCTATTTTGGCTGGTACCTCATCATAATTCTTAACTGTTTTCCAGTGGCAGAATATTTTTGTTGGAGCATGAGGCAAGCAGCAAGGAGGTTGGTTTGCTTTCAGAGTGCACTCTGAATCTGCAGGCCTGGCTGTCACGAACAACGTGCACGTGCTATGAACAGTGTCCTGGGAGGACACACCATCCCCAGCGTCGTTGTGTGACCTGAAGCTCCTGACGCATGGCCTGGTGCCCAGGCTGGGGCTCCTTCACCTGTGCTGAGGTTCCTCCTGCTTCCCTCCCAGGGGGAACGTCCCAGGGACTGAATGCCACTGCAGGCTACAGGACCGAATCCTTTCCCCATGGCTTCCCATTGCGTTCGAACAGCTATTTAATATGCCATTCAAATATTCGTTGTAGGAGGATGCTTAATTCCAAATGGCATGGACAAAAAAAAAAGCTCTTGACTGCTTGCGTTGTTAGTTTTCGTTATGGCTTCATTTCAGACACGAGGACTGTAACTAGGATAGGCTGCAGCAGGTCGCTGAACAGAATAACTGGTACTACCACAAGGAATTTTTATCGAGATAATCACATCTCTACTACAACTCGTGCCAGCACTACTTTGTCAAGTAGGGTAGGAGTCGGTCACCCGCCACAAGCTGCCAAAGGCAGCCCACAGGAAAGGCTTTGAATGGCATCCAGGGAGTGCGGACACAACGCCGGGTGTCAGGAGCTGAGTTTCCCGAGAGAGATTCCTGAGGTCCAACCTCAGCAAGGGCTGGGAGATGTCGCCTCATGCAGACAGGAGATGGTCCTGAGCAGGTCATCAGGGGCACTGAGACTGTGAGAAACCAGCACCTCCTGGCTCCCGCTGCGTTTTTTCTAGCAGGAATTAACTGCAAAAATAAAAAAGCAGCCAGACACACCAGCCCTAAATGGTTGCTGACCACTGAGGCGGGGACTATGATTTTTTTCACATTCCTGACCATGATGGAAATACTTTCAAGTGGGCCATAGCGCTCCGAGCCCTGTTGTGCTCCTGTCGCTCCAGGGAGAGGCCTATTTACCTTATCTCAGGAAACATCAGGTTAGTTGGGATCTTCTAGTGAGGGGCAAGAAAGTAAAATGGCATTCTGGAGTATGCCCAAACTCTTCCCATGTTCACTAGATGATCTGTAAAATAATTAGACCTGCAAATCATTGGCTAATGCTTCAGATTGCACAGCTCAGTAGGATTTGGCAGAAGAAAAAGTCTTCAAAATGTGCCAGCAGCACACAAAAACACTATTTATTACCCACGTGTTTTTGGAAAACCACTTCACTAAATAACAGAATGCATAACCTCACTGCAAACAAACGGACGCTGGTTTTCTAGTGCCCGGAGGTGCAAGAACAACCTGCTATAATTATTCTTAATCTAATTAAAGAGAATTCCATTAACTTATTCAGAAAGTTACTACAGCAGGAAGGCAACTGCACAATAATACAGCGTATTAGTGCAAAGGCAGATCTCCAGTTCCTTTCAACAGTATAAAGCTGAATTACTGCAATGCTTCTCACCTGACAGCTAACTCACGGGGAGACTGAAAATCTCTCGTGCCAGCAAGGAAGCAGCCAGGGCTCGGTTTCCTCTGATCTTCAGGGACACGGTGATCTGGTAATCGATCCTACGTTGCTGTTCCCAAAAGCACGTCTCAGATAACCTGCGCCCTTTGACCATACCCACTAGAGGTGCTGCGAAAGGCCTCTATGATACGTACCCATGGAGCTAGGGCTGTGACTCCCTGCAGACCAGAAAGAGCTGGACAGGAGGAGGGCTGGCAGCTTTCCGAGCGTGCACAGTGAGCAGAGCGGTAACGTGGTGGAAAAGCTTTTACGCACCCTCCAGTCGAAGCTGAGGCGAGTGAGAGACAATCACCCTGACCCTCACGCTGCCACCCCACAGCAGCGGAAAGCAGAGATCCAGGAAATCTGTTCGAGGCTTAGGACACGCTCAGCCCTTCCTGAAAACACTCAACGAGGCACCACACTGAAGCTCTGCAACCACTTTTCTCTCACCTTTATAGACATTACACTTTGCTGTGCCACAGCCCTTGCCTTTGAGAAAAAGGATCGTAGGGAATTCTGCTTTCCCCTGAAGTAAATACACTAGTCTGTAGTAAAGAACATGGAAAACTGTTGCCTCTTGTTGGAGGGATGAGCTGAAGTAGATGTCAGTCTTGCAGGGGATGTATAATCTCAAACTTTTACTTTTAGTGAGGCTTTGCCCATGAGAAAAGAAATCCCCCTGCAAGGCCGAAGGTTGTAGGTGTGCACATGTGAATCAGGTTTCAGCACTGGGCTTGTACACAGTGCTTCAATTATGCTGGACTGCTTTACCTTCACTGATGGCAGGCATTGCCAGGTTATTTTTCCTAGCTCTGTTCTTCAGAACAATTCTCAATCCTGTAGAACAGACTCTTATTTTGATAGTATTTCTCAAAATATTAAAACACATACTTTACATATTATTGCCTATTGCATTTTTATAGGAAAAAAGCCCTTAATGCCTGAGTTCATGTCAGGTGCAGCTCTGCCCGCTGAACTGTTAATGCATTTTGACAGTTCTTGTATTGCTATGCCATTAGCTTCCTATATTAAAAGGAAGGCCACGTGCAAGGTTTTGCACCTGGGTCAGG